CCTAGTCTGAGCGTTTTGCTAGGATTAGGTGCTGCCGAAGCTGCTAGCTCGGTGGATACGCCTGGGTTACAATCCCCTGCTGACATTAGGACAACGAATTCGCCGGATACGCTGGAACAGGAATCGGAATCCGTTGAACGGGAAGTCCGGCCTCCTGGTGGTCTTTACACCGGATTTTCCAGTTCACCTTATACCAGACGTTATGGCAATAGCATTGGCCGGGGGATAACACCTCCCCATTCTGGAAGCGGCAGTCTAGCAGGATCCAGTGGCAGATTCGGTAGAGGTTATTCACGCGGAGGCGCTACCGGCTTAGGTGTGGCGGGCACTGTCGCGGACGAGACCGATGATGAGCCGCTTCTTTTCGACATGTCGGAGATCACCCGTGAACAATCACGTCGCAGTCTTGAGGAGGGCAGGGGCGGCGGCAGCGTGGGATCTACAGGTGACAGGGGAGGATACGAAACAAGCCATAGGAGCCGCCGTTGGTAAAAACTTCGTATCCTACTACACCCACCTACAACCCTCTGTGGGTGTTTCATTTCGTTGTTGAGATAGATTGTTGTGTAATGCTTGTCTTGGTCGTGGATTGATGATATATGTATGGAATAGGAACTCATTAGGTGGCGGCGGGTTTTTCATGCTGCTGGACACGGATACGTCCTCTGAGATCTACTGCACCTACAGATTGCCATTGTTGTTTCCTGGATGGCGCGGAAGTTGTTTTGATAGGAGTTTGATGGCATTTTGGACGGACATGAGTATTCTTGATGACGGCCGGAGTCTAGAGTGGGGTTTGTGAGGTCCATTATCATATCACGCTCGAGGAAGACCGTCTGGCGTTTTTTGGTCCCGGAACATGGCAGAAGGGTTGGTATTTCTGCATGCGGATGGCCTCGTTTGATCTCAAGCTTAGGGTCGCGGACGGAGTGCTATAAGACTACAAAGATAACCCGGGGCAAAGTCCCATCCCGGAGAACGTATCGCCTGTAGATGGAATAGAAAGGATATAGTACAACGCTACTAACATAAGACTCTTTTCGCCTCTTAGGGCTATTTTCATTAGGTTCAAACTTGTATGTATATGAGATGATGGGTATTTACGAGCTGAATCGAAGTACATATATATTTCGCGATCTACCTCCTTGCTGCATATAAATACGCCCCGGGAGGTTTATGCTAATACTCAGACCACAGCTAAGGAACGATTGTTAGTTACGATTGTATATGTATATATAAATATGAATATGTCTCTACGAGCATTACTACCAACTAGGTTGCTAATAGTAGAAACATAACGATCTTCAAAATATTGGATTCTGCCCTTCGTTCCACCTAGGCCGAGAATCGGAAAGTCGAGGCGCAGTGGGATATTGATAGAAATAACAATAGAAATATTTCAACGTCACTGCATTGCGCGTTGTTTAATAAGGTTTAATGGGGCTTCCATTGTTCTAAAATCCATGGTCAAGGATATCCGGGCACTTGCATTGCCCCATTGCCCCAAGCCTTGGGGGCTTTGAATAGAACGCTAAAGTGCCTACCTTGGCTAAATGGGGGTACCTTGTCACTACGTACCTAAGGCTAGTAGAGGTATGGAAGGCAGGTAAGAAACCAAGCACAGGCCAACGTCATCAATTACATGTTATGTTATGTACCACATGCACTCCTCCAGGCTGCAAGCTTTAGTACATGTACCTTATTATTCCACCACTACATAATCTTCATCTTAACATGAACAACTACAACTACAACTACAACCACAAATACCCAACGCCACCGTCATACGTTTAATAAACCGTTCGCCTGCTAGAAAATACCCAAATCAACCCCATAGAGAAGAACGAGAAATCCGACGTTTAAATTAGCGACAATCTCCAAGTCATAAGGATTGTCTTTTTTCTTCACCCCTCCTGCTGCCCAGCATGTTTCGGGGAACAGCAGTCGGACCTTATGACGAAGTGATCGGTACGTTTGCACGCAATGTAACCACATATAGCCCCCAATATAGACACAAACTGACATAGCATTACTCGCAGCCAAGGCGACCGATGAGAATCTCACGTCGGAAGATTGGGGGGCCATTATCGAGGTCTGCGACAAAGTAGGGAGCGATTCAAATGGCCCCAATCAAGCAGTTCAGAGTTTAATCAAACGTCTGGCGCATCGCAACGCCAATGTACAGCTTTACACCCTCGAGGTAGGTGGTCTAATAAATGAGTTCAGTTTCTTTCATGCTGACCATATCCTGTTTATTAGCTCGCAAATGCGCTCTCCCAAAACTGCGGCAAGAATATGCACCGAGAGCTTGCCAGCCGCGCCTTTACCGATGCCTTACTTAAACTCGCCAACGATCGTAATACCCACCAACAAGTCAAGGTAAAAATCCTAGAAAGGATGAAGGAGTGGTCCGATATGTTTAGCAAGGATGCCGACCTCGGGATCATGTACGATGCCTACTATCGCCTTAAGCAGAGTAATCCGACATTGCAGCCACCCTCGGCCCCACAGAAGACCGGTCTTACCGATTTAGATCGTCAGAAGGAGGAGGAAGAGCTACAGATAGCACTGAAGCTATCGTTGCAAGAGGAAGAGAGGAAAAAGGGCACGCAACCTACATCTTCCGTCGCAGGACCTAGCTCTAGCGCGGGACCGAGTACAACGGCTGCTCCGGTGGAATCAGTGCCTTCCCACCCCACAGGCACGACAGCTGCCACCGTATCGCGAGTCCGCGCCCTCTACGATTTTGCGCCATCCGAGCCCGGTGAACTTGAGTTTAAGAAGGGAGATATTATAGCAGTTTTGGAGTCCGTCTACAAAGATTGGTGGCGAGGCTCGTTAAAAGGCAGGACCGGTATTTTCCCTTTGAACTACGTCGAAAAGCTTGCCGACCCGACCCCTGATGAACTCCATCGCGAGGCGCAAATGGAGGCCGAGGTGTTTGCCGAAATCAAGAACGTGGAGAAGCTTCTTACACTGTTGAGTACCTCTAATGCATCGCCGAGAGAAGAGGACAACGAGGAGATATCAGTATGTCTCGGGCAGTTCGAGTTCAGGCACAGTTGATTGCTAACCACCATTCTAGAAACTATACCACCAAACACTCGCTATTCGACCTAAACTAATTAAGTTAATTGAGAAGTATTCTCAGAAGAAAGAAGACTTCACGCAACTCAATGAAAAATTCATCAAGGCCAGAAGAGATTACGAGTCACTTTTAGAATCTTCAATGTCTCACCCGCCCCAACCGAACTACCACCAGTACGCACCGCGACCGCTCATGCCACACGGGTACGGGGTTCCGGGAGGCCCAGGTGGCCCAGGTGGCCCGGGTCCTGGTTCGAGCTTCGCTCCTCAGGGACCGCCACCTAGCCAACAGGAGCCCCAACGATTTTATACTCCCGGTCCTCAGGGACCCCCTCCGCAAGGTATGTAAGATGCAGGCATCTTTACACGAGTCTAGACGGCTCACATATAATTAGAGCAGAACCGATACCAGGCTACATCGCCGCCTCCTAGTTTCCAGCGGCTGACGCCAGCACCTGCTCCCTTCTATCTGCAGGGGGCAGAAGTTCCCGCTCAAGCAAGCCAACAGCCACCTCAGCAATATCCACCAAGAGATCAGCCTTCGAGGATAGCTGCAGGGAAACAGCCTGCTCCTTTACAAACATCTTCTCCACCGCCGCAAACTTACCAGGCGTACTCTCAGCCCGCTCAAGCGGAACAGCGGCCTCAGAGTACTTACGGCAATCCTCAAGAATTAGCCACGTCGGCCTACGACTCCCCGATTGCGGCCACCCATAATCCTAGTCGACCCGATCCCTATTCCGCATCGGTCTATTCCCAGGAGGACCCTTATGCCACAAGCCCAACGGCTACCGCTCCTTCAGCTCCTTCAGCCCCTGTCCCTTCAGCCCCGCCGGGGCCAACTCAGGGCGTTCCAACCCCCCTAGCTGTCGCATCTCACCCTTCAGCACCCTCCCAGCCGCAATACTCGGCATATAACCCTAATGTCCAGCGCCAGGACTCGTATGATGCTCCCTCACAAATCCCCCCTCAACCGACTGGGTCAGCACCTCCGATCCCGCAGGGGTTCCAGCCGCCGTCGAGCGTGATGACACTCCCGCCTCTTCAACCGGGTGGCCCAGCATTCGACGCCCGACAGTCGCTCCCAAGCCAGACTCCACAGGGCCAACCGCAACAGCCACAGTATAAAGCCTACGTACCCCCGGGGAACGAGCCTAGCGCACCGCAGGACTTCTATAGGCAAAACGCGGCGTACTAATTTCAGCGGAAATCATAGTAGTAGTACACATGAATGGAAGTTTAGCAAGATTCAAATATCGTGCTAGGAGCTTTAGTTTGGTCTTTTTGTCATGGGGAGCATTTCTGGAAGGTTTTAGTAACTAGTCGAGGTTGATTCCCCTGTTCATTCCATAGGCTTCATAAGTTCTAGAGGAGTATATTATTAGATAATGGATGTAGTATCGTGAGTGATTTACATGTTGCTGTTATGGTAATTGTGAGGATAGCTGTGAATATGTTTCTAATGGAGCGTAGCTTAGGAGATAAAAGGAAGCTCGCGAGGTAGTTAATTTTGCTTATAGAGACGTATCGAGTAGTTTATATAATAGTTTTGATTCGGCATGGGAGCGCTTCAGGTAGAAATAGAACCACGCTAAATTTTACCTCTATAAAACTACGAATTATATATGAATATGTACCTAGATAATCAACGACAGTCGAAACGATGACAGAAACAGTAAATATTGCTTCTCACTAATGAATGAAATATGACGCCCCCTTTTTAAGATACTGCGCCTTTTTCCCCGGCTACGCTACCCCCTTTTCCCCCCCTATCACCACCCCCAGGGTGGTGATGAGATAGCCTCATCGTGCAAACTTATCCTACAATAATACTCACGCGGCACGATAGAAAATGAAGTAACGAGTAGGAAAAGAAAAGAGACCAAAATATCCATTACCTCAGCGCAAATACAATGCGACTACTAAATACCACGTCTCTAGGGCTCAAGGAGTTCCAAGGCGACATGGTCCCTCCGTATGCGATACTAAGCCATACGTGGATCGACGGCGAGGAGATCAGCTTTCACGACTTCATAGACCTGAGCCCGTCTACAGCGACCAAATCCGGCTTCCTCAAGATTCAGGGGGCGTGCAGGATCGCGCGACAGGATGGCATTGAGAGGTAGATATGGATCGACACCAATTGCATCGACAAGGCCAGCTCGGCTGAGCTTACGGAAGATATCAATTCTATGTATAATTGGTGCCGCCGGATTGGTCTAGTATGCTGGCTCCGTCGCCGGCGGCGTTCTGCGACGCGGGCGAGTATGTCCCGGTTGATGCCTGGGAAGCGCCTATGCCGTATGCGATGACGAATCTGGGGTTGTCTATACTTGCCTGTCGTGTATACTTTGACCCAGTTGTTTGTTGTTCTTGACGCGGGACTTGTTGGTAGCCGGTCGGATATGCGTGCTTGTATTGCTAGTATGTTATGTCGAAGACTCTTTCTTGTTCTTTTGGCTTACCTTATGTTGAGAAGTCGGGGTTGATACTTGCTAACCGACTTTACTATCAGTGCAACGGACTAACCAGAGGCGCTCCGGCTCTAATATACTTGACAGAAGCCGGTTTCTAGAGCGTCTAGTCATCCTATCTAAGAAGGCGACGGATACTAGGGAGCGATACAATCTATTTATCAGGTCCCGGTTTGTCCCGCAGCCTGGAAGCCTCTATAACCATCGCCCGCGCAGACCTTCTGTGTTTAGACATGGCGTCCTGCTCTTTGTCGATCCGACTACGAAACGGCTCCTGTCGACAGGGAGGCAGGATGTACCGCTCGGAGCCGTGGGTTGTGATATTGAGACGCATCCTCCGGGTCTCTTCGATGAGGACACGGCACTGTTACGGCTACCGGTCTTCGAAGGTGGTAGTTCGTTGCTGACATCGGGGCTACTACGTATCTGCTTTAAGTCACCACAGGAAACCGATTTCTACTTATTCTTCGCCGTCATCTCGACCTTGGGCGGGAGAGAAGTCGTACGTAATTTACAGTTTACTTTCCTCTATTATCTCGATCCACCTTAACAGGTAGGGCTTATTAGTAGAGCATACCAGGAAGTTGTTACGTCCAAGATATTCTTAGATTCCCTACTCAGTATGATTTTGGAGAAGAATAGTGCTAACTTGTGTTGCTTAAGTGGCACTGCAGCATACACTCTGCAGAAGACTTCTTCCACATCAAGCTTGCGATTCGAGAACACGTGGAAGAGGGCGGCGTACCGGTGCAGGAAGAGGTCTTGATACATAACTGCCTGAGGAACGAGGTATGGGAGAATCGTCGTAAGCAGTTAACAGCGCACACTCCAGACGAATCGCTCTTTGTCTCTATTGGTGGTACAGTAACTCTGTATCCAGATACCGACATCCGCGCTGCTATGCTATCCGGTAAGTGTGAGTCGCCCTATTCAGTCCCAATCAGCGCGACGGATCTTAGCGGAGTTGTCGACGAAACAGACGACAGTGACTACGTGGACGATAGCGAGGAGAAGGAGCTTGAAGACTGGGACTCGTCGAACGAGGGAGAAGAGATCGGAAGTAGCTTGGCCATAGGAGAAGACGCAAACGGGCTGCGGAGATGGGACGTCAACAGCTCTGGCGAGAACTCGCAGACCCCATCGTCTGCATCATAGTCGTGTCAACCTCCTGGCCTAGAACCCCTTTTCCCTGCATTGTGGGGTTTGATAGTTCGTGTTCTCGGGTACTTGGACTCGGTCATGATTATCGTCTGGTGTAATATTACAACTCGATTGATAAGTATACTATTGGAACATGATGTGGAATATTTCTTGAGGCTATGGTGTTGTTCCACGAGGAACTCTAAGCTAGCAAGCCTACGGCTATACATATTAATAATGTCCTTTGTTCTAGATGTCTCATCTAGAGTCCTCACAGTATTTCATAATATAATACTAGTTATTTGAAATAGATAATAAGATTAATACATTTATGCTTTAATTTTTCGTTCATCTATGTTGCTAGTTCATAAGATGTTATAGTATTAAGTGTTTTTATTTCAACTACATAATATAAGTTGTAAGTGGTACCCTTTATCATACCGACAAGAGCAGAAGTGCACGGAATTCCGAGCGGATAGGTTGGATAGGCTATTAAATATGTGGCTAGACGCGTCATCTGGTTACGTATAATATTGAGCTTTACCCACAAGTTTGGAGGTAAATATCGGAAATCTCCAGCTACAAGATCTAGAAACAAATAATGAAGGCAGTATCATTTCTCTCACCAAGAGTACGATGCTATATGAGTTAGGATCATATTTAATAAATTAGTGTAAAATGTTATAATAATTGTACTTGATAATAGTTCCCATCTTGACGGTACACAAGGTATCCCTTTTACATTCAAAGGCAGATGCTCCCTATATTCGTATTCTGTAGCTTTTTCTCATCCTGTAGTTTTAAGGAGGTGACGCTGAGCATTCTCAGGGCTGTGTCCCCACACGATGTCAAAAACTGTTTCTCTATTGAGGTCTTGGCTTTCTCGGGGGAGGCACACCGATGAGATCGGCATCTTTGATCAGGCCATCACGTTGAGATCTATGGCTCGGGAGACCCGACCGTCTATTAGATAAACTCGGGACGAGTAGTGGAGACGGATAGACCGGCAGTTGTTCATTCAGGGTCCAGAAGGCCGACAACACGAATGACTAAGAGAATCAACCGCATACCTTTCCGGAAACGTTTCAGCTCGAATCTAACCAATCATTGCATCAACGATCTCATTATTAACATCCCCTAGAACTTTTTGGCCCGTTTTATCTACGTTCTATACTCTTCCCGGTCAAGCGGCTCGTATTTCTCCCCATAAGAGAAATGCTGGGACAACTACAAGTGCAAAGGGGAAATATCCCAAATTGGCAATGATCGCACCAGGTGAGGCTCCATAGGGCTGTGGAACTCATATTGCATTCATGCAATGACGTCGATCCTATCGTGGCAGCTAGCCTCCCTTCATATGGAGATATCTTCAATATTGGAGCCCATAGCCCACGAAAGGGTATAAGAATCACACTCCTGCCGCCCTTCAGTTTGGGTTTTTTGTTCCTCATCAGACAGACGAAGTCATCAATCTACCTACTCACTCATCTACTATATCTTCCACTCTTCAACTTCTAAACCCAACTAAACCATCAAGATGCGTTTCACCGCCACCGCAGTCACTGTCCTCCTCTTCGGCGCCAACGCCATGGCCCAGGACCTGAAATCTGAGGACGTTTCCATCGCCGACTTCTCCGTCCACAAGGCGGGTGCCAGCGGTGCCTCTGCCGGCACTGTGGACGGTGTCTCCTTCAAGCTGACCGGCCATGACGCCAAGGACCTCAGCTGCTCGGCCACTGCCAGCCAGATCACCAGCGGTGTGCCCACCAGTGTCATTACTTGCGGCGACTCCAAGTACCGCTTCGCGCTTCTCGAAAGCCCCGACGCGTCTACCTTCACCCTCCAAGTCTTCCACGAGCTCGGAACTGCGTAAGTTTTTATTATCCTCGCATCATCTAAGATACGGCCAAACTAACAATATTGAAACAGTTCCGGCTTCTCCGGCCGCGGCAACATTGCCACCTACTGCCACTCCGGTGGCCTCGACAACATGGTCTGCAGCCAGACCCAGACCCCTGCCACCATCCACATCGACAGCCTTCCCCAGTAAAGAGACTCGTCGAGCTCATGTTTGGAGGATATTGATGCTTACGTGCGTATGAAGTATGAGAGGAAACCTTGGCGTTCGCCTATAGATATAGATTTAGAGATAGTTTAGCATTCGAATATATTGCGTCTTGCTTATAACTGAGATTTCCTGTGTGCTACTAGATCCTGAGCAATGCTGAAATGATAATTTGTATCGGGTTATAAGCAATATGCAAACTTGAAATAGCCAAACCGTCTTTATTATAGCGCGTATTGATGCTGATACTAGGAATAAAATAGGAATGTTGACATTAGGAACCCCTTAAGAGAATTGGATGTAGTTAACAAAGTTCCAAAGTTACTGAAGTACATAGGTACATGGGTTATGTACTTAACAGCAGAGGTTGTGTGGCTAGGTAGGACCTAAAGTGTGGCTAATGAGACGGCTGCCTAGAACTAGGTTGTGGCTCAATGGAGGGGAGATAAACCGATAAGATTTTGGTTGGCCGGGCAAAATATGACATTACGAAGTAGGTGGTGCAGAGTAAACAACATTTCTTTAAGCGTAAGGCAGCAGTTGACGTTTTTAAATAAACAAGGCCCTTTTGACGTTGGCAAGCATACCTACAGTACGCAATAAATAAATTCGTTACTTTCTAAATTGAATCCTTCCTCCACTTACAGTTATTCGACAGTTACGCTCTCTAGGTAACTTTTTATGAAGTCAGTTTATTCCCCATCGTGACCCTGTCCCCCCACTTCGCAACCCGAATACTCACGGCCAAGGCAGAAAGCCCGGTGATAACTTTGGAGTTCGGCCTAGAAACGACTTTAAGTCAACTGAGACGCCTATTTTGCGTGAAAATAGGCAGGCTGGACATAGTACATGTGCAGAGAGTTGGGTTGCAACCAGCCGCATCGGACCATCGCGACCTAACCTGCCTAAGACACGAAATCGACACACGAAACACGATTTTCAAATTAGAACAGACGACGAAGAAATAGCAAATTCGATTGCCGCCGATACTTATCATATAGTACTTCCTTCGTGGAATCATTCAACCATGGTCAAGGAGCAAGCTCCGCCTAAGGCGCCGTTGCGTCCATTAAGTTCTAACAAAACAAATGGCAATACGCAAAACCAGACTTCAAGTCAGTCCGACCAGAAAGCACCTGGATTTGGGAATATGAGCGCGGGAGGCTTCACATCTGTTAATAACTCTGCGGCTACAAACACGGCCCCGAGGCCTGCCGTCAAATCTCGAGTGTTGTCAGGAAACATGGAAGACAAATACGCAAACCTCTTCATTCAACCCAAGAACCGTCCAGAGCACCATCGCCCTCAACGAATCACGGGTCCATTGCAGCCTTCTTATAAGGATAAGAAGCCGCCGCCAGCCCCTATGTTCAACACGATGCAACCCGACCCGGCAGGATCGGCTAGTAATCCAATCTCGGTTCCGGATGGCGCCCCAGTTTCGATATACAGCCAAACTGGAGTTTTCTCCACATATGTTGACCCTAAGAAAGCCGCCGCTGACATTAAAGCCTTACTCGAGGGTTCCATAGAAGATGAAGAAGGCGAGGATGCGAAAGAAGAAGATAGTGAAGATAAGTCACACGTCGAAGGACTCAGTGTTCGACTCCTACCGCATCAAGTCGAGGGAGTAGAGTGGATGAAAGGTCGTGAACTAGGTCCCGTCAAAAAGGGTAAAGTGCCCAAGGGTGGTCTTCTTGCAGATGATATGGGCTTAGGAAAGACATTGCAGTCCATAGCACTCATTCTAGGCAACAAGAAGCCAGCAGATAAGCACCCAGGAGTTGAAAAGACGACACTAGTCGTTGCACCTTTAGCTCTCATCCGTCAGTGGGAGGCAGAATTGAAGGAGAAGGTGACTGAATCCCACAAGTTGAAGGTGCTTGTGCATCACGGCCCGCAACGTACCAAGCGGTTTGAAGACCTCCGTCGATACGATGTAGTCATCACCACCTACCAGATTCTCGTATCCGAGCATGGCCACACTACAGATACTCTGAAGACCGGTTGTTTCGGTTTACATTGGTACCGCGTCATCTTGGATGAAGCACACACGATCAAAAATAGGAACGCCAAGGCCACAAAGGCCTGCTACGAACTCCGAAGCGTATATCGTTGGTGCTTGTCAGGCACGCCAATGCAAAACAATTTGGAAGAATTGCAAAGTCTAGTGAAGTTTCTCAGAATCAAACCCTACGACGATCTTCGAGAGTGGAAGGACCATTTTGAAATACCAATGAAGGGCGGTAAGGGAGAAGTCGCAATGCGACGTCTTCACGGCCTACTGCAGTGTTTCATGAAACGAAGAACCAAAGATATCCTAAAGAAGGCTGGTGCTCTCAATGCCAGTGGAAAGGCAACCAAAGAAGGCGAGGAGGGTGAAACATCAAGCTTTAAGGTCACTGAGCGAAAAGTCGTAACAGTTGCCGCCGAGTTCACTCCAGCAGAGAGGCGGTTTTACGATAGGCTAGAAAAGCGAACAGATAAGAGTATCGAGGAAATGATGAAAAAGAAGCTCAATTATGCTAGTGCTTTGGTACTCCTCCTGCGTTTAAGACAGGCCTGCGACCATCCAAAATTAGTTGAGGGCAAGCTCGAAAAGGACAAGGACGCCCTATCCGAGGAAACGAAGCCAAAGAAGAATGAAGGGGATGTCGACGCCCTTGCAGACCTTATGGGTGGACTCGGCGTCGAGACGAAACACTGTGATATATGTGGCTGGGAGCTTGACCGTGACAACCGCCAGCCCGGCACAGACAAATGCAAAGCTTGCTACGAAGACCTAGAGTACTTCAAGCATCATGAAGATGGTGGAGAGCTGAAAGCACCAAAGACGAGAACAAGAAAAAAGAAGACCAAGACTAAGGTTAAGAAGGTCGTAGTCGAAAAGGTCAAGACTGAGGTTGTCAAGAAGCGTAAACCTAGGAATCGTCGCGCGATCCTCGATAGCGACGAGGAGGACGAAGAGGCTGATTGGATCGTCTCTGACGACGAACAGGGTCCATTGCGCTTAGGAAAGGCAGGCGGCACGGATGACGAGAATGCCGAGGGCGATGGTGAGACTATCAACTCAGACGATTCCGAAGAAGGGGAAACGCAAGACGGTAGCCAACTAAGCAGTTTCATCGTGGATGATGGGAAGGATACGAAGCCTGAAGAGCTACAACGGGCCTTGGAAGAATCAGATACCGAAGAGGACGAATCCATCTCCGTTATTCAATCTAAGATGCGCCGGACAAAACTCGAAGATAGCGAAGGCGAGGGCGAGGAAGGTGACGAAGAGGACGAAGCAGAAGACGCGGACTCGGAATCACAATCCGATTCCGAGGCTGATGATACGGGTATATCCGAGTCTGAAATCGACTCAGATTCTGAAGACGACGTCGTCTACTCCCGCTCTGGCCGGGAGAAGGAGAAGACACCCCACGTGCTCGCGTCAGCCAAAATCCGCCAACTCATCACTCTGCTCCACAAGGAAGTACACGAACACAAATTCATCGTCTTCTCGCAGTTCACCAGTATGCTCGACCTAATAGAGCCCTTCTTCCGCAAGGAAGGTATCAAGTACACGCGATACGATGGGAGCATGAAGAACGACGCGCGAGAGGAGGCGCTCAACAATTTGCGAAATGACCCGCGAACCAGAGTCCTCCTTTGCTCGCTGCGATGCGGTGCGCTGGGCCTTAACCTCACCGCGGCCAGTCGCGTTATCATCCTCGAGCCTTTCTGGAATCCATTCGTCGAGGAGCAGGCCATCGACCGAGTGCATCGGCTGACGCAGACCGTCGACGTAGTCGTGTACAAACTAACGATCGAGAACAGCGTCGAAGAACGTATCCTAGAGCTCCAGCAGAAGAAACGGCTCCTCGCCGAGGCCACCATCGAGGGCGGCGCTCGCAAGGAGAGCCTCAAACTCGGCATCAAGGAGATGATGGACCTGTTTAAACATGTCGGCCGTGAAAGCACGGGAGGCGACTACGGCGATGACGACGAGAGGTTCAATAGCGTTGTGCGCCAGGACGTCACGAGGTCGCTTGCAAGTATGCGAAGTAAGAATTCTAGCTCAAAGGCCTCACGCGGGAATGAGAGCTCAGTTTACGGACGTCGGTGGTAAGGGCAATATCCGGGTGACGAGTACACTAGGTCCCCGGAGTGTTTGGAAGGCAGCTTTGCTAGCTGGCTAGTTGAGAATTCTGTTCCCTGCCTGGCTTGTATTTGATGAATTGTATAACGAGTATCGGATTAATACGATGGAGTGTGCGTGTGAATTATGACGGTTCGGATGGTCTAGTTTTATTCAGCTTTGATTAGAGTTGCTACGAGAATACACTTATTCTTCATCCCTCCTATATCTCCTTCCTATATCTCCCTCCTATATCTATTGATCGGGGGGTATATGCACGGAGCTTCTCACAAAATTCGTGATAAATGAGGGTAAAATGTTTTTTTGATTATATGATCAATTTGCATTTAGACTTTGAATTACGATTAGTCGTCTCGTAAGTTGTCTCGTTGCCCGTTATGCCAAGCCCCGGTCTTTGCACCTTTTACATGAGTCCATCTACTCAGTCTACTTGCGAACCGAAGAACCAACTTTATAGATTCAACCTAGTTGTGTACCTATTTATTAGCTTTATCCCAGGCTAATCGCATCCAAGACCCCGCCAGCGCCAAAGTATTATCTCGGCTTCAGTTCCGCTCCCTGCTAAGGCTGCGATGAACTGGCGCGTCAGCATCCGCTCGCGAGACCGACTCGTCAAGGTAGAATTTTAGTACGTGGTCTGGAATGGCAAGGTGTGTGGTCTGCTCGAACTCCTGTAGGCTTGTCAGGCGGAGCATCATTTCGAGGAGCGAGAGGGAGGTGTGGATGGCGCCGAAGGGTGAGCGTTCGAGTAGGTCTTCGTCGAATTTCCTGTTGTCGGGGATAAGTGTGCCGCCTGAGTTCCTGGAGGACGACCGTGAGGGTGTGGAGGCTATGCTCATCCGGCTGAGCTGGGTTACTAGATTTGAATCGGCGGATGGGCGCGTGCTGTTTTTCAACCGGCGGGGGATGTTGGAGTTTGAATGTTGGTCTTTTTCTGTTCTATATTCTTCATCTTCTTCGGGCGTATGGTCGTCCTCATCATCCGTTGTACCATCGTCATCGTCGTCGTCGTCCATCTCAAAAACTTCTAGAGCTATCCATGCAGGGTCAAGGTCCTGTGGAAGCCTCCAAGAATTAGTGGGTGTCTCTGATTGAAGTTTATGTGCTGTCCGTATAGCAGCCTTAGTGACCACGATTTCCTGGCGAAGTTGACGGTCTATTTCATCCTGAGAATCGCCCTCTAAAGTGCCGTCGGATATGATACTCTCGTCTAGGCCTTCGATTAACTGTTGTTGGTCCTCCCGAAATATATCGGTTCGCTGCCCGTGATTCGGAGGTATAGCCTTCACGTCCCTTTTAAGCAATAATACGGGACTACTCGAGGCGCCATCTTCGTTATTTATGTTCAAAATCCTCCCAACGTCCGCGTAGAACATCTTTGAAATCTGGTGGACCGGGATAAATTCTCGTATACCAGCATTGGGGACACCCTCGTAAGAACTTGGCCGGGCACAGCCGTCCTCGATTGTGTGGACACGTCCGTCATCTAAGTCCTCCACAATTTGAAGTTGGTACGCATAACTTACATAAGATGTGTTATGCTCTATGTTGTTGTTCATTCCAGGGACATTATCCTCGAGTGGTATCCTACGGAGCCGGACTCGGGCTTTGTGGATCACTTCCTGCCATACCGGCTTACGCTGGCCCTCTTCTATGCCGTACGGCTCTATCGTGTCTTCAGGAGAAGCATGGGCACGAAATAACATGTAGATAGACAGCATAAAGTCTGGGCCGATCTGCATGGGCCTGCCCGGGTTGAGAATGTACTGAGTATCGCCGACATTCACAAGCATGCTAGCCTGTAATAAACGGGAGGGGGAAAAAGCCGAGTGTTGGGTTTGGATACCCCCGATTGCAGACACCCAAAGATTGATGAGAGGTATGGAATCATCAATGTCTTCAATTAGTTGTTTGATGTCTGTGATGATGCTCTTGACTTCGATACGACGCACAGAAGCAGTAGCAGCGGGGCCCTTTGCTTTTCCATTTTGGTGAGATTGGTCTGCTAAGGCAGCAGCTTCAAGACGTTTTCCAAGTAAGTCAACATTGGCTCGTAGTTCTTGTGCTGTCTGCACTACGGCCTCTAAAGTTGAGTTTCCTCTAGCAAAACGAAACTCGATAGACTCGAGTATAGGGGAGATGAGCTGTTGGAGAGGTTAGCGACGGTTGATAAAATTAACACGCGACAAGAGTGTATCGGTGAGGAGCCTACATTCAGATACGTCGGCTAGACATGACTTACCTCGATCTTGCGAGCCAACCGTCGTTGTAGATGGCTCAACTCAGCCCGTAGAGGATCGTCATCAACGGTCTAGACAAGATTATATTAGCTTAGGTACATAATAAGGTATAAGGTATAGAGTGGTGTAGAGTGAGGTTGAAATAAGACGTTGAAGTAATAAATAATTGGTAGTTAAATAATTCATACCTTTAGTAATCTTGAACCTTGCTGGATGACATAGGTAGAAGTCAGAGCGAAACAAGACCTAATAGCGTAGTTGGTGGCGTGGTAGGATAGCTTGGCTAGGAATGCATCCATGGCAGAGTATCATTTAGTAACTCAGGATTAGGCGATAGTTTGTTTATTATTGTCTTTTCTCCAATGTCTTACTCCAACCACATCCGCAAAATATGCATGCATGAAAAAGAAAAACTGTTAAATAGCCCCATGAAGGGCAATCGGTGCCCAACTTGCAAGGTCTTGGCCAAAGTTAAGTAACGCCTTAAAAGGTAGATGTCCGTGCTTGAAATGGATATGCACGAATTCACGGCCGTAGTTGTAAAGTTGTAAAGTTGAGGTTGATTATGTTCAAAGGTGAACACACCGCGTACGTATGAAGCTCGATTATCCTATGTAGGTAGTTAAGTTAGGTAATAAACAAGATATTTAATATCCGTTTAGTGCATGACTTGTGTTCCATGGCATCCTTATCGTATCTGACTGACTAAGAGTTGCACAAACTAATAAAATTCCACAGTTTATTACCGAAAACAGCACGGTTGCCTAAGTTGACGTACCTAGGTACCTAATACATACTTCCTTCTCCGTCATTCGCGGGGCAAAAACCTCTCTCACCCCGCTAAAGCTGCAACTCTTCTTCGACTTTGCCGCAACGCTGCAACGAAATAACCCAAGTTCACCTGCAGGCATTGGCATTGGATTTTAGGCAGGGCCTTACCGGTGAGTCAATACTAGTTTAGACGTTTGACTTGCTTTATATCTTGTCGTTCATTACAATTAATCTCCTCCTAACGCCCTAGGTTAGACCACTCATCCGTCTTTCATATTCACGATAGCGATAGCGTAGAAATTTCACGGTCGCACAATTACGAATTGCCAGCCTTCAAACTTCTGCCATCTGACGTCGAATTTTCTCCCTTGATACAAATCGTCGCTTTCGAACATATTACCATAAATATCACCGCCGATACATAAGAATTTATATAGTAATCGGCACCATGGCTGATCTCAACTCTTGGGAGGACGATCCTGCTGCCCAGGACGACAACTTGTCAAGGCAGGCTCAGCAGCTGAACCTCAATAACCAACCTCAGAACCCTGCCGCCGCATCATTCCGACCTGGCGCCGCGTCGTTTCAACCCACTGCCCAGTCTTTCCAGCCGGGTCAAGGTTATGGTGGTGGCTATGCTCCCAACTACCAGCAAGGCTACTATGGTGGTGGCCAGAATTACTACCCTCAATATAGCGGACCTCAAGGTGGCTACGGTCAATACGGTCAGGGATATGGTAATGTCTACGGACAAGGTGGATATAACCAAGGATACGGTATTATCTACCCATCAGATGAAATTGTTATTTACTAACATTAGTAAGGGCAACAACAGCAGCAACAACAGCAACAGCAACAGCAACAGCAATATGCTCAATATCAGCAGCCCCAATCCCAACAGAAGTCTAAGCAACAAGCGCAACAATCCCAAGCTGTGCCTACCATTGCTAAGCGAGGCGACCAGGGCGCATCTGCTGCTGCTGCTGCTACGCCCGCCCCTGCTGCCTCTTCTTCCGACGCGCCTAAGCCGGTTGCTAAGCAAGAGGGAGGAACTAAAGTCTTGAGCATAGGTGGAGACCCTCCGAAGCCTAAGGCTGCTAAGGTCCTATCGATCGGTGTTCCCGCACCGCCAAAAGACGAGCCCAAGTCCGAGAAAGCCGACAAGGAAGCCTCTGCCGACGCCGGTTCTAAAGTAACAGCAGCCAAAGCCATTGAGAAGACTGGCGAGGCTACCAAGTCAACCAAGAGTCCAAGTGGCAAGACATCACCAACGCCCTCATCCGGACGCTCAAGCCCCTCCAGGGGAAGCAAAGCATCTGTTCGCGATGCCGATGCCGTCGCCAACGAACAGGTCGCTGACGTCGACGAAGAGACCTTGAAGGAAATCTACGGAAAGGAACATATCAATATCATCTTCATTGGTCACGTCGATGCTGGTAAGTCGACCCTCGGTGGTTCTATTCTGTACGCAACTGGTATGGTCGATGAGCGTACAATGGATAAATACAAGCGTGAAGCGAAAGACTTGGGCCGAGAAACATGGTACCTATCTTGGGCTCTTGATTTGACAAAAGAAGAACGATCGAAGGGAAAGACAGTCGAAGTCGGTAGAGGGTTTTTCGAAACCGAGAAGCGGCGATATAGCATTCTGGATGCCCCTGGCCACAAGACTTATGTCCCGAGCATGATTGGAGGTGCTTCCCAAGCAGATATCGGCATCCTCGTTATTAGTGCGCGTAAGGGAGAGTATGAAACCGGTTTTGAGAAAGGCGGGCAGACCCGCGAGCATGCCATGCTTGCCAAGACTCAAGGTGTCAACAAACTTGTCGTTGTTATCAACAAGATGGACGACCCTACCGTCAACTGGTCCGAGGAGAGATACAAGGAATGTTCTACAAAACTAGCACAGTTCCTTAAGGGTACTGGATACAACCTAAAAACCGACGTCTTCTTCATGCCCATCGCCGCCCAACAGACGATGGGTATCAAAGACCGCATTCCGTCAGGGGTTTGTCCCTGGTACGATGGACCTTCCCTATTGGAATATCTCGATAACATGCAGGCCCTCGAACGCAAGACTAATGCGCCATTCATGATGGCTATTAGCGGAAAATATAGGGATATGGGTACCATGGTCGAAGGCAAGATTGAAGCCGGCGTCTGCAAGAAGGGTATGAGCTTGATCATGATGCCGAATAAAGAGAAGGTTGAAATTGCAGCTCTCTATGGCGAGACAGAAGATGAGATACAGGTCGCTCAATGCGGTGACCAGGTGCGGATACGTCTTCGAGGTATTGAAGAAGATGATATTTCGGCCGGTTTCGTGCTCTGCTCGCCGAAACGTCTCGTTCATAACGTATCGGCTTTTGAGGCTCAGATCAGAATTCTCGAACTCAAGAACATTCTCAGTGCCGGCTTTAACTGTGTCCTACACGTTCACTCCGCAGTCGAAGAAGTAACTTTTGCCGCATTATTGCACAAGCTGCAGAAGGGAACAGGCAGGAAGAGCAAGGTACCGCCGACGCATGCGAAGAGGGGTGACAGCATAATCGCCAGGATGCAAGTTACAGGTGGCGCCGGTTCAGTTTGTGTCGAAAGATTTGAAGACTACCCGCAGATGGGCCGCTTCACCTTGAGGGACCAAGTACGTTATTATTTCGCTTATTGCTTATTTCTAAATGCTAACTAACTTACTCAGGGTCAAACTATTGCTATCGGCAAGATCACCAAGCTTATCACGGATGATTCCGCTTAGAAATCGAGAAACCAGAGTGATGAAGCCTAATGACGATAGCTACGGCTTGATATAGTCGCCGCAAGATGAATAGGGGGAAGGGAAGGCTTCATTTGATGTAAGACCCCAAGGGGCTTGTGGGTAATGCCACCCATTCATAATGAATTGTTTAGAACTCATTGCATGGGCATGGAACGGCAGAGATAGACCTAGATATGCTCAATAAAAGTCACTCCCCCCGAAGCAAAATATTAACCGTCCTCTCTTTAAGCTTAATAAAATAATGGGAAATCGTATGGGATTTCATAATTCCTCCTCATGGGTCGATTATTCCGGAATTTTGGCATGACAACCCCTCTCTCTACCCAGTTAAGATGTACTCTTTCTACGCATAGTTACCCCTTCTCTTCAAAGACTTGTTTCTTTCCCTTTTTTTTTCTATCAACGCGGAAATCATGGTGGTGTCTGTGCTAGCCATATGGGAGAAGTCATTCTCGCGACAATAGTCTTAATTCCGTGTGGTAATTCCGCAGTCTTCTCTCACGTGTTCTAGACGTATAGGGCTGCTACGATGTCGCCTCAGCTCCGGCGGGGGATCACACGCACCTAATGACACGAGCAGCGGGTTTTCCAGGGTAATGGAAAGGGGTGGTCAGCACTTAATCGTGTACATGGACGACGCTTACGAACGGTATATACCATCGGGACCTAGAGTATTACGTGACCATCCTTAGCACAGATCGAAGCATGTCTTACCCGCAGCAAGATATCGTTGGGCACGTAGATCGCTTATTGACACCGGCTTAGGCTCGACTGTAGCTTTCGACCCGACAGAGGATTCGGCTATCGATGTTGCTTAGGTTAGTACCGGACATGTGATCCGTGGTTCTAACACCGGGGGTTTCTTCTGCCGCCTCCTCCTTCCACGCAATATGCTGCAAGCGAGCGGATAGGGAGCCCGGTGACTTGGTTGAAACTGGGTCCTCGGGAACGCAACTCCACCCTCGTGCCGTTGAGGACTCGAGATGTGTTGTGCATAGTGACCTCATGTACGGGCGCGTAAGGGTCGATTCTATAGGGTCTGCGCTCTGTGCGGCATTGCTCTACTTTTATGTTATACAGCTCTGTGCTTGTGGTGCATTCGGCAGAGGTGGAGGCGAGGACTGCCGGGCTCGGTTCGTGAGAACCACGTGGAGATAGATCTGTGATGATATGACAGGTAAGTTACTAGAGCAACACCCTGTTCGGAAATAAGGAGTGATACTAGTGGAAATGTTTCAATGTCATATCAATGTCATACGTGTTTTAGTTTTGGCCTCAGCGACGTTCTTTAGGGAAATATATTGGGGGGAAAGGGGTTGTAGTTTAGGATATGCTAAGGTCAATCCCGTAGTAATATAAAGAAGGGACTATGAAGATTGTGTGTTAATTTTGGATTCCTATCACAAGACCTAATGATATTAATATCACTATCTATGTAATGAAGCATCAACGATAGCTAAATTCCCATGATGAAAGCAGTAAATAACGCCATTGGCCCATGAATAGAAGACATTGGTTATAGGACATCGTAATAGCAATTGCAATGATAACACGTTGCACAGATAGCCCCTTCACAGCTTGCTTTGGGGTTTAGCCAATGCAAGCTTCGAGGTGAGCGTTTCTTCTGCCTCCTTCTCGATTCTAGTTAGCAAAGCAGCACATGTCGGTATGTCATGGATAAGACCAATGACCTGCCCAGCAGTCCAGACCTATCATCCAACTTGGTTAGCAATCTTACCACGACGAGAAGGAGAAGTGCTGTGTAACTTACGCCATATTCAGGATCTCCATTTACGAAGACTTCCCGACCTCGTTTGCCACTCACATAGGGGGCGATTTCGGCGAATTCGCCCGTCTTACTCTCCTTTTCGATCTTGACAACTTGGTCGGTGACCTTGTTGCGATACAGCCGAGTGGTATTGGTCCAGCGGCGCATCACCAAGGCTGTGTCAGTTTCCTGGGCCTTGACGATCTGCTCCTTGATCTTCTGGTGGATGGGCGCCTCGACGGTGCACATGAAGCGGGTGCCCATGTTGATACCTTCGGCACCAAGACATAGGGCGGCTGCTAGACCGTGGCCATCGGCGAAACCTCCCGAAGCGATAAATGGCACCTTGAGTGTCTGACGCGCCTTGGTGAGCAAGATAAAGTTGGTGATGTCTGACTCGCCCACGTGTCTGCCCATCACGACGCACGTTTTAGTTATGCAAACGATTAAAGCGAGTAAATACCCTGATAACAGGGCTTATTGGTGGACTTACCCTGCGCATTCGAATCCATCTATGGAGAGGAAATCGACACCGAGCTTGATAGCGCTCTGTGCGTGCCTGATCGTGGTGCATTTGTGGAGGATAATGGTGCCAGCCTTCTTCAGCTGGGAAATAACAGGACCGGGGCTGTTACCAGCAGTCTCGACTATCTTGACGCCCTCGTCGATGACGACTTGGGCGTAGGCGGCATAGTTTGGTGGTACAAGAGTAGGCAGCAGTGTGATATTGACGCCAAAGGGGTTTTTGGTCATGTTTCTACACCGCCGAATTTCATTTCTCAGATCCTCTGGTGTCGGCTGGGTGAGAGCTGTGAGGATACCCAAGCCTCCCGCGTTCGAAACAGCAGCGGCCAACTCAGCATATCCAATATGCTGCATGCCACCTTGTACGACAGGAATCTTGATGCCCAGGCGGCGCGTCAGCTCGGTGTCGAAAGGCATCTTCGCGTTATGACTGGCCGCCTTGTGTTAATTACTATACTTTATCCCGGGAGCCACGATGTAATTGTGCTACTGTTAGTACGGCGGAGTCGAGGAGAAGATGTGATGAATTAATGATGCATAGGATTAAAGGATCTTGATTGAATGTTGATAACTGGAAAGACCGCGACGAAACCCGGACGCTTATAAGAATGGAACGGCGAAGGAGGTTGTAAGATGCCGAGGTAGGCTATTCCCCGGACCCATATATTAAGCCATCACTAGTACCTACCTAGGTACCTATGTGAGGCAGGTCACAGTATGTATACCTTTAATCCTGAATGTAATCCGTATAGACTGATTTATTTACAGTTACAATAATATACTAATTTATTCATGAGAACTACTTAAAATGTTGACTGTTTGATTCTTCTTAATGGCTAAGTTGTACATCTAACAATTCGAGTTCCAACCAGTATAGATGTAGTTTGATATTGGTTACCTTCTTGCGCGCCGGGATTCCCACCACTGTTCCAATCGGGGGAAATAAATAAATACATAGAAATAGCAGCTAGAAGACCCTCGGTAAACCCGGGCATGCATGTGCTGGCTCCCACGTGCAGGTCAAACGGAATCCGGGGTTATCTGTGGCCGAACTTTACTATGGCTTTTCACGGTTAGAGTGGGGACCCTTAGCTCTTGACATCGGAATTCGTTCCTTATTAATGCAGCCTCCAAGTCAGATGCATCTTCTCTTTACATAGTATCATCGCGTACGGGCCGCTCTGATTTCACGACAAATGGTCCTTTAAATGGCTTTAGACTCACCACCTTCAGTAACATATCGCCTCGTTACTTATCCAATTGACGGCCTATTTCTATATTTAGATTGATCACTTGTCGTCTGATGCAAGCACACATGGCTCGGATCATTCCTCGCTATTCCCATGCTTTCATCTAGGCACAGATTCGACTTATCGTTCATCAGTTTGGTTTGGCAGACGAATCTAAAACACGATAGGCTAGATGGGCTAGATGGGCGGCGGGATATTAGCCGGACGACGGGTGGCAACGGGAACTACTCCCCAATGCCGTGTCACTATCCGTTTGTCGTACTCATACAGCGCGTTAGAATATGCGGGCAGGTTTCCCTTCTAAGACCTCTGCTTCAAACTACCACGCCTGTGACCTGCTATTTCTCTGGGGATGCATCCAAAAGGCACGCATCTACACAAACGATGCCCACACGGGTTGTTGAGTTTCAATAGTTGCCCGACGTAGAGCTCCGACGGGATGGCGGAAGCGACATGCTCTAATCCGCAACTAGCCCTCCTGGATATCTTTCGTATTGCTAGTTTCCGAGAGCTGGTACCCTTCGTGCTTCGATAGTATGGTTCGAGAAGTAGTGCATGGCTACTGGATTAATTCCTTTAACGACTATAATAATTAGGATAGCTATGCGCGGCCCAACCACCATAGCGATACCTGTTTACTCAGCTTCATTTTTTTCTCGCAAGGCAGCAGTGTTACCTGTGCACCGCCACACCAGCCTCTAGCACTCGCGATTATGCGGAAGCCATTGGTCATTTTCGTTAGCAATCACTGACGTCTTATTAGCTATTTTTCGGTGTAGCGGTTATCATGGCACATCGATCTACTACTAACTGTTTCTAGTCTTATCCGCCAGGTTTCTGAACAGCTCTTCTGGCACTTTGCCTCACTGCTAGATAGCCTTAAAGCCAACGGGAAGTATGCGCTCTGCCTACTCTGCACGCCCTTGCAGCTGGGCACTATTGTGCCTGGATAAGGCGAGCGGTAATGATGGATCTACACAAGGATGTGGCCCTCCACATCAGCACGGAATGCATGGGTCTGCTCGTTGCAGCCCTTATGTAGGTACCAAGTCTCTCGGCCGAGCAACTACTTTAGCCTTCAGTCTGGACTTGGTATGTATGATACGGGGGCTTCTACATTCGTTTTAGTACGACGCCTTTCCACGTTGCCCTGTATCCGACGATCCATACTGGCGGGTCCGATAATTGACGGTTACACGTCTTATGCTCTCCGACGTGCATACAAACCACTAGTAGGACAAGGTTACTTGTTTATCAAGTCGGAAACGCGCAGCGGGACTAAGGTACGGAGGGCTAGCACACGAAAAGGATACAGTAGAACATACCTACGCTTGCCTTATCTGATGCCACATACATGAGTATCATGGTTTGCGGTTAAGTCAGTCTACACCTGCAACGTGAAAATGCCGCTGGGGTGCATCCCGCGTTCTCTTCCTTAGACCCTAGATTACGTCTGCTGAGATTCGGCACTTAGTCCGTGTTATATCGAGGTCTCGGCGGAGGAACTAGAGGGTATCTTATCTAGATACCCGCATTGCAGCCATCTTAAAGGCATAGGGCCGAGTAACCTGGAGAGGTAAGTTGCATCTGACTGCTCCCAATGGCAAATGCGGCCCAACGCTTCGTGATCTCCCCACGATCCGTTCTCCGTACCGACCTAGTAGCCGGGCAGTTCCCCTTACGATATTTGATTTCACCAGTCAAAGATGTTAGGTACCTTTCTTTGACCCACTATGACATGTGCCTGACCGAAAAGGAGAAGATTAAACTGTAGATCGTCGGCTTTTACAATCAACCCGGAAAGCTGAAAAACTATTTGACATTGTTCCTGGTTATATTCTAGACATACAGTTAGGGGTTTTCATAAAAGTTCTAAGCGAGAGCCAATAACTCGATGCATCATCCAGCCTAGTTCATGCCTAACTATCTAGTTACCGAGTACCCGGCCCAACAGAACGACGAGAAAAGAACGTGGTCCCTCAACAGGCTACTTCTCTATACCCAAGTTGGACTTCTCAGACGAGATGCCGTGTATATCGCCGCTGTCGTTATGTCACCGGCCGTTTCTCGATTATTCCGCACGCTTGTGTTTAGTTCATCCAATTAGAATCGCGTGTTCCGATCAATTGGGTCGAAACTTGATACAGGGCCCCTGGCAAAAAGGGGGGGAAAAGCAAACATCTACAATAACAGCAAGCAAAACAAAATGAGAAAAAAAAAATAATGTAAACGTCGTTTGAAGGCTGTCATTGTTGCGTCAGAAAAACCAATGCATTGATTTAGGCCGAAAATCATATGCCCGATTAAAACACGCGTCTTCCCTGCAAACATGGACGTGTAGTCGGCCTCGGATACATATCGATGGAATTCTACGTCGAGTCGGGTTGTACTCCAATAGTACAGGTACGCCTTAAGACTCGGGGAATTTTCTTATTGATCACAAATGCCAGAATGTCACGGCGGCGGCAGCTGTCCGTCGTGGCGCGGCTCAACCACGTTGTTGGGTCTGAATCGTCACGCAATAACCAAGGCTTTCCTACGTCTAGCCTGCTCCGAGCCGTACTATTCTTAACACACGCTTCAGGGGTGCTTTATGTGTTATCTTATTGGTCGTAAATCTGCTGTCTTAGGGCTCGGGTTGAAACAGATAAGTCAAAAGCTGATCAGCCACCCAGTACTTGTAACTTGATTGTCATACAGCCGCGTAATAAGATGCATATTATGTAGGTATGTAGGTATGTATCATACTACCTACCTAGTATGTATTATATACTCCGCACGTATCGATTCCCTGCGACAGCTCAGTGAGACTCGTTCAACACAATATCTCCGAACTGGGGAGGGGTGGTATGACGATTGGTCCGCTACGTCAAGTTTGACAACAATACATCGGCCATCTGCCTTGCCTTTCTTGCTCGCATGTTCGTGAGGGCCTCGCAGGAAAGCTGTCACAAGCTGTGGTCCCCAGGGCCCCGCCACCCAACCTTTGGTTTACAGTAAGTGGTACGGTATTCTAACGCTTTCTTTTCTCATCTATATTGTTTCAAAACCTGTGTTATTTTTTCCTATGTATCGCGTATAGAGTATCATCAACCCGTTTCACGTATTGGATAAATATACACCCCGTCTTTTTTTATCAATCTCCGTAACAAACCCTACTCTACTCACCTTGCTCGGTCAGCATGGGGCGTGTATTCTTTATCATATCGCCTTCCAAGTTCCCTTTTTATTTCACAGCCTATCATTACTATCGTGCTCGAGGACAGTATTCTTGTTACTCAAACTAGAATAGCACTCGGCTACATCTACCCCGAAGCTTTCTATTATGAGGAAGATACACTGATGAGGCTGATGTAGGAAGAAACATGAGCAAAGAAAGGAAGAATAAGAAAAGATAGAAAAAAAGCAATCCTTCAACAACCTACCCGGATATGTTTGCTTCCAAGGTTTCCCACTCAGACATGACCACCCTAGTAAGCAGTTGAAAATAAGTAAAGAAGGAATTGGTATGCTCACTTGTAACTTATATTGGCGATGAGAGCCGTCGTTTATCTCCTACTTCATCCTCCTCTCCCACCACATCAACGCCTCTCTGGAGCTGAACCTGTCACCCACCCACCACGTACACACACACGATGCATGATGCCGTCTCCTCTGCCGAATAATTTCCCTTTCATAGCCGTACAGTACCGTTGCGCAAACAGCTAGGCGGCCGCTAACTAATCCTTTCCTGCCACATCATCCACTGCCTCTTCACCACTCGTAATTCTGATTCTACTTGCCCGTTGCTTGATGCCCATGCGCGTACGTAGCTCATATTCTTCGTCCATGCTGCTGGCCGTGTCTCTCCTTTCCCAATCCAGAAAACACGAGGGCACAGATTCTAGCTCGAATATAAAAGGTATTTACATGGCCCGTCTCCCACATGGTCTTGAGCGTTAGTTTCTTCCTTGGTCTATATCATACAAGCACATCAAGCACATTTTCGACTATCACACTCTGTTATCGTAGAAGGTTTCCTCTACCTAAAGTATCAGCCTTATCCCATTACTTTCTACGAGTCTATCCAATCACCATGCCGGCTTCACAGCAACAGGCTTCGGGCACACCATGGCAAGACCGGCTGGCAGGTGGGCAAACCTGATCTCACCTAAAAACTTGTAAGAGTATATAACTAACATACTTGGCCAGAGGTCTGCCGCGAATACCAGATTCAAGCTCCTCATTTTCAAATCGTATCTGACCGGCGTGGTGAGTCTCTCTCTTTTAATACTCATTGACGCATATAGGTGATAACTGACTAGATCTTTCTCGATCGTTAGGTGGTCGTACCGCGTGGTCTAGTATAGTTACCGTTTACGGCAAGCGAATCGAGGCGCGATATTGGTACGACGGGAGGAACATCACTAATGCTAGGGAAGATGCTGCGGAGGCGGCCTTGAACTGGCTTTCCAATCAAGCGAACTTATCTACCAGCTGGTAGACGGCTCCTCGGGAAATCAACCGACTACGAACATGTTCGACATTTAAGGGTCTCCAACTGACATGCGTGGCTCCTATTCTCGATCGCCTTCCCCATTTGCGCGATTGATTCACCTCGACACACCCTATTACCCCCGACAGCAATTTTTGATTTTTGGGGTTATGTCTCCTCGCTTGACGACTTGAACTTCCTGTTCTGTAAGATATTGGCAAATCGGAGTTTGGGAAAGGATCTGGCTGCCCCACGGCAAGGACACGAGAAAGAAGGAAAAGGAAAAAACGAGAGACGGGGAGAGCAATTACATGAGCATCTATGGATTCGGCGCAGGTTCCTCATCATTGATTGGTTTCCAATAGACACAACTTGGAGGTTTTAGTATTCTTGTCCGCCACGACCATTTTTCAGGTAGCGAGGGCGTGTTTTACACTACGACAGCGGGGGATCATCACCAGGAAAGGGTTTCAAAAACAGGGATTATTCGGGAGGACCAGGCGCAGGACTTTGGTTTTTTTTGGACCCATTTTGTCGTTTCTCGAAGAAAACGGCTCGTCGCGAGGGATCGCGTTGGATTTTCTCTCTTACCTCTCTTCGTTTCAACTGCTCCAACGCGACCTTTTGAAATTTGCAACGGAACAGACGGAAAGAGAAAAGCAAAAGCTGATCTCATGAAACCAACTATCGATAGACACATCGCTCGACCGATTTTTCTATTAGAAGTCGTGGACTTATGCCACCTACTAATTACAAGGATGAGATTTTGTTGGGCTCATCTAGCTAGGAAACGGGCCTGAGACATGCGCGAAAGAGTGAGGGAAAGGGAGGGAAAAAAGTAACGATAATGGGTCGTCAAGAAAGAGGTAGGAGGAAAGGAAAAAATGGAATAGGATGCGATCACTTGATGAGGAGTAATGAATGATGTCGATCTCCTAGCTTTCATGTTGTCGTTGCTTTTCCGTTCTTCTTTTCTCAATGGAACCGAGAGGGATAAATACCCGACATATCCAAATGCTTTCCCGATGACGTGATGACATATAGACTTATCAGACTTATCGAAACATTTTGTATATAGGCGTCGTGCGTGTTAATGTTCCTGCTTACTGTAGTATGCGTATGCATGCACTCCTGAAATTCGTCTGATGAAAACAAAGTGCGCGATGCTACGCCAGCCAGGGACAAGGCGTAAGCTAGGTTAGCTGCCCTACATGGTACTAAATGTGTTACCTTATGAACCCTATGATCCCCATCTTCGTAGAGTAATCATATATCATAAATAGTATAGTATATAGTATATAGTATACCATGGTTTGTGCCGGTCTTCGGGAGGAATACGAGGGTGTAAGCATGGCCGTTCCACTCACATGAACATAACCATTTTTCGATGGGTTTTGGATGCAGATATTCATCGTCAGCTATAAGCTGACGATGGAGAAGATACGACCTCCCGGTTTTAAGCAAGGTCAGGTGCTCCATCATATTACGCCATCGCGGATCTGGTTTAAAGCCCAACCGGCGAGTAACCTTAGATGTAGCCTCACGAACCGCGACCTAACTCGACCGGTGAGATCCACAGCTTTATCAGCTCGCATACGATAGCTATCACCTGCAACCCTATACCTAGTCATACGACCGGTTCTCATCGCGGAAATGGCATCCGAAGGATGGGAAATTCTGAGACGCGGTGAGTTCAGAGGCGCCGAGGCGGCACAGGTCCAAGTAAGGCGTTAGGCGTGGTAAAGGTTTAAGACATTCATGTCTCATAGTAATGTCCTATGCTAGGTAAGTACCTAACCTGGCGTCCTCCCATAGAGAGACACGTCTCCACCGCACAGGCACCAGCATTAAGATGAGATGAAGAAGAGGCGCTTCCTAAGCGGGTTTCCAAAAAACCCATGGCACTATGCACTGACTCTGCCGCTGCGGGCTGAAATCCTTCCTCAGGTTGCTTGCTGTATGTATAAATACCCGCATAATCGACGTGGACATGGTGGGGTCAAGCCAAGGAAAATATGTAGCCCTGTTACAATCCGGTTACCCATCACCTCACCCGCGTGGGGGAAGTAGGATGGGGGAACGATCTGGAGTGGGTGTGACGGTAGAAAGGGGGAAGGACGATGGCTTTAGCTGCTTAAGTTAATTCCTAGTTAGTGGAACTGTTCTAGATCTACTGGAACACGGGAAGAAGGGTAAGAAAAGGCGAAGAAAAAGTAAAAGAAGATAAAAGAAAATATAACTAAGTGTAGTTAAAGGAGAAAGGAAACTAAAAGCGAGATTAAAATAAAGCGAGATGAAAATTAAGCATAATAGACAAGAATACATATGCAAGATCGTCCAATTAGAAAAAAAATGTTGCAAACGAAAAATGAGATGTCATAAAAAGCCCCCGAGACTCGTATACCTATAATAAATGTGGCTTAGCTTGAATTATGTAAGTTGAGGGTTTGAATGTTGGATATGAATATGTATGTGGCAGTGTCTGTCTTACTTCAAGACGATAAGATAAACCCCTCCATCCAATGGATAAGAGCATATTAAAAAAAATGGGCCGTGCTTCGGATTAATTGTGCGCCAGGATGTTGGCAGGTCCGCTGCCGAATCGCATTATCAGATAACATTTTTTATCGTAGCATCAATCATTACCGACTCGACGAATATCGCATCTGGGGACGACGAGGACGAGGAAGAGGCATTGAAAGTAGGAATTGGCCTCACAATCGATGCACCTACTTGCAAAATCAAAACCGGCATCATGTCTTGCAAGTTGACCCCTTGGGGCGCCGCCGCCGCCGTCCGGAATCTCAGCATACGAACGCGACGAGCACCCACCACCACCTTCCGAATAGCATCCCGTCCGGAGCAACGACCAGCATATCAGACGCCATTCTTAATAACGACGAGAGGAATTACAGACGATACCAACACAAGAATACCACCCCAGTCCGAAACCCCACCGCCAACTCCCGCCGAATATGTGCCCAAGCCGCCCGAGATCTTCGCGCCAAACTTCCTCAACGCCGAGGCCATAGCCGCGCTCGAGAAAGCTGCTGCTAACCAGGCTCTCTATGACGAGGGCGACGAAGGCCTGTTATTTAACATGCCCGACCGCGTCGGCAAGGGCCAGCAGCTGCAGGACAGGTACCATCCTGTAGTAGAGCAGGTTACGAAGCTCCTGATGAAGGACGGGAAGCTAAGTCAAGCGCAGAGGGTACGTCGGTATTCCATCCATCGTTACGAGAAAGAAAGAAAGACGAAAGAAGAATATAATACACCATAACAGGAACTAAGCTAACCTCTCCGCCAACCCAAAAACAGAACATGGCCATGATCCTCAACTACCTCCGCACAACCCCCGCCCCCAAAGTCTCCCCCCAACGGCCCCTCCTCCCCGGCAGCCCCCCCGCCGACCAGCTCCCCCTCAACCCCCTCCTCTACCTAACCCTAGCAATCGACTCCGTAGCGCCCCTGATCCGAATCCGCAGCTTACGCGGCGCCGCCGGCGGCGGCCAATCCCTCGACCTGCCCCAGCCCATAGCCGCGCGCGCCCGCCGCCGCATCGCCGTCATGTGGATCCTCGACGCCGTGCGCCGCAAGCGATCCGCCGGCTCCGGCCGCGCCCAGTTCGCCACCCGCTTCGCCCAGGAGCTGATCTCCGTCGTGGAGGGCAAGTCGACAGTCTGGGATAAGCGGAATAGCATCCATAAGCTGGGCACCGCGGCGCGTGCGAATTTGACGCATCATGCTGTTGTGGGGAATCGGAGGAAGTAGGTAGCCAGACGGTAGAGATATATGCCTATATATACAGATGCCGAGACGATCGTTGGCTCGTGGGGAGAATGGAAATAACAGCTAGGGAACTCAACCGAATTGGAGCGTTCCTGGTGGGACATCGTACCTATGGAAATATATAACCTTAAGTGGACGGTCAGCTGTGATGACAGTGTACCTTACCTTGTATGTACGCGTCTATGTATGTATGATATAAATCAAAAACCCATGTACAAAGACGATACAACTACACTGCTTACCACACGTTCTCTTGATTGAGATGCTTCGGTGAAAATAGAGGGTTTGAACGATTTATAGCTACATCCTTAGCTGAAACTTATGATTCTCTTACCTGACGCTGCCTGTCCCACTTGAGGAAGGGAAGTATCCATCTACCAGACTGAGAAGATAAGGTAGTTCCAGGTACACTTCAACTCAAGTTGAAAGTTATTGCTGCCTATTTATACACTTGGATCACATACTGACTTGCTATACTACTAAGAATGATGGCTAAATAGACTCTGAAGGATTATGAAAGAGACGTTAGGCCATAGAGATTAAGAGTAAGCTACCTTAGGTAGTTTTATCGAAGACTGATATCTAAGATTAATTTGATTTCTTCTCGTCGCTCTACTAACTGCATAGTGGCTATTCTACCACTCACTCCTTTTTTACATTTAGCAGAATCTAGTTTCGTATGCCATAGGGGAATCTTTACTGTTACTCACGAGTCTCGTAAACAACTACGAAATGAGCACGAAAACAGACTCGAAGCACCTATAGTCTGTAATTGAACATGATGAAAAGTAGTTATTCCCTTAGTCCTTAATGCTAGAGGCTCAAAGTATTTTACTTATTTTGTTTCTTCTGCATACGCGTGATCAAGAATTGCACAAATGTCTTCTTGGGGTTGACACCCTAGAGCTATCTCGAGCCCAGCCCCCTTCCTGGCGTCGACGCTGGTGTTCCGGGCACAAGGGCGCTAGGCTTTCTAGACGGCGTCGTTGGCCCGGCCGTTGTCGTCCCGTCTACCGGCGGAGTATCTGTCCTGAGGACACTGCCACCCGAATTTACTTTAGCTGGGGGCTTGAAGTTAGAGGCGACGCCTTTCGCATAGATCTCCTGGAGCATAGTGTCGAGAACGCCCGCCTCGCTGAACTCCTGATACTTGCGGTATAGCTTTAAGGCAGTCCTAGCGTCCTCGATGGAATCGTGCGTACTCAGCTGAATATCTTCCTTGAGGAGGGTATGTGCGAGGAACTGCAGGCTAAGTTTCCGAAGGCGCTCCTTGATGAAAAATAGATCGCTCGTGTCAATGACTTGCGCTTTCGGCACGTGAATGTTGATTACTCGGAAATCTTGCTTCAGACCGTGGCCCAGAAATTTACACCCAAGGTTCAAGAGAATCCAAATTTTCTTGTACGCAATCTTCAACGGAACAAGGTTATGTCCTCTCTGCTGCGCCATCGTTATATCTAAGTCTTCGGGGGTAATCCCGGAATACGAGGTTAGGTAGTCGACGACCTTCTCCTTGATAGTGATATAGTCATCAATAAACGGCACTCCTTCGTCCATACCACTACCTCGGACGATGGAATTCCTGGCTAAAGCGTGCACCGTCGGCCGGATAATTTTTGAGTCGCCATCTGAATGCATCTCAACTTCCGGCTGTGAAATCTTCACAAATTCTGTGTCAATTGCAACAATCGTATCTGGTCCAGCCGGCTCAGTTTGCCGATCCAAAGTCCGATAAGTCTTATCAGCTCGATCAGCTCTGTATATTTATTAGTCAAGTTTGCGGCTTAGCAGGCGGTAGACTTACTGGAGATCTAAATATAATAGCCTAGAATCCAGATTCTGCTTCCAACTGGAATCAAGTTGATTATTGGCGGATTTTATTTGATACGTAATGACAGAAGGTGTCTTCCATGATGTATTGAACGTAAGTGCCTCTTGAGGAGGGATGGGCTTGACATGAAAGTCGTTGAAAAGGTACCACTGACTTTGGCCGGGGGCCGTCGGCGCAGAATGTGCGACTAGACTTGCGTATTAGCTTCTCAGATAGTTGGATTCTAAGAATATAGAAACTTACTATTTACCATGGCCACAAGGTGCGATCTCTGCTGCTGACCACCCTCAATATTGACGGCAAGGCCAGTCAAAGAATATACCGCGATATTATGGATTCCCCGCTGCAAATGCAATTTCAAGTCTTCACCCTCGAAGCAGAAGAATTGGCCATTGTCCACTATGACGCCAATCTCTTCTGGCAACCATCCAGGTGTAGCCCAGAGTCTCCGGTGCTCGTTGTTGTTAATTGCGGTCGTAAGCATTAATACACTAGGTATCCTGTGTATCGTCTTTCGGGTGGCCAATGTTTGGTACCTATGACAATTATTACACCAACCTTTGTTGGTAGTCTCCCTCTCTACACTCATCTTCAACACTTGCGAAAATGTTGTTCCTCGTATTCTTGGGTTCCTATGCCCGGATTTCTGTGATAATGAGCTTGGATTATTTGTTTTGCAGGAGGTGAGCTGGACTTACATTTTGGGGGTACATTAATTCATTCACCATCGTATGGTCGGCTTTCGTAGTTTCGCTCCGACAATTCATGCATCTGATAGAGCTAGTTGCGGATGTTTGAAAGAGCTAGAACCGATGGTCAGCAGAGGTCATATTTAGAAAGGCATAACTTGGACTTACCTCTTCGAGTCCTCCGGGACGCGGTGACTCTGCACTATGAGAATGGGGATTTTGAATCATTAGGCTATAGTTCTGAGTCATTTGTCTGAGGAGATATCGAGCCAAGTGCTGTAGCATGACGGTCCGCGACGCATGAGGTTCTTCCTCGAGCAGACCCAGCTTGCCCGCTAGTCAAGTTCATCAGTAAGCCGTCGGGAGGAATATGAATACAACTATTTACCTTCAGGATGATAACTAAGGGTTTTAGTGAAGTTAGATGCTTGGCAAGCTTCCCCTTCTGCCTTGTGGAGCATGTCAAAGAGAAACCCCAATTCGCAGAGGAGACATAACTCGTCTACACAGGCCGTCGCTGCGTGTTGAAGAGCAATATTTCTGATCAATGGGGTATAATGCATCACCTGCAGTAGTGGGTTGGCATAGGCGTTGACAATATGATTCTGCAAACCCGAATACTGCGTTTTGTTGAAATAACTGGTCTTTCAATCAGCATGTGCTGCACAGGGGCGGCAAATCAACTTACCCAAAATCGAAATCGTCGATTCCGAATTTACTATATTTTATTTCTATATTTTGATACAACTCGGGGACCTCGATCTTTAGGCTTTCGAGCTTGTTATCTTGTAAAATCTGCGGAATTTCGGGCACAACTTCTTCAGGAGCTGGTGTCCCGGCGGGGGACTTTGCCGCTTCTCTGGCCTTCTCGCTTAGGAACTTTGGTGGTTTTAAAGAGCTTTGGGCGTTTTCATTGTTCCGGGTATCTTCGATTTGATTTCTCCGCAACGGTCGAGTATTCTTACCAAAGTAACCCCAGTCTCTCTCCTGGAGGGTTGCCAAGAATTGCGCATCAATCTTAACAGGAGGGGCACCAATTTCTGTGATCATGTTACTTGGCCATGCCGACAGCAATACTTCTCTATAGTATGGCATGCCGACAGCGCTCAATGGCCTGGGATTCTGTCAGCAAACGAACCCATACAGGTTGAATTACACTTACGCATCAGGAGAATCGAACTCGATTCGGGGCCCCGTCCCGGAGTCTGCCGTCTCTATCGGAGTAGGAAATTCAGCGAAATGAATCTTGCTCGGCGAGCCCCAGAGGTGGATATAACAGTCAGCATCTGCAAGAGCAATCGCCTCCCCTGAAGAAGCGATTTCTATCATTGAAAAGTAACTGAGGTTATTTGCTTGACGCACATTGCTAGTGTTAGGGTTCATTAGATCAACCACATGCATCTGCCCGATCTGTGACATAACAATACTGGTTGTCGACATTCGAGGATGCATCCGCACATAAGCAGCACCGGCCGGGAATGGGATAGGGGACATAGATATCATGTTCTTTAGATCGAACACATTGACGAACGGGTCGGGCATGTAATTGCCCCCGTGTCTCATTGAATATCCACAGGTAACGATGAAATCGTGCTGCGCATCCATGTCATTAATTGCGGCCGTATGCGCGTTCCATATTTTGATGACCTGAAAGCTAACGGGGTCGATTATGTGGACAGCACCAGTAGAGGTTGCGGCGCATATATACCGACTTCTCCTCATGATCGTGTATTTGTACTCGGTGGGCAACTAATAAGCAATTAGCAGTAGCACAATTTTGATTTATACCGATTAATCAACTGTACTTGTTTAGTTATCTCGCCCTTATTTATGTCGATTACAAACATCTTGTCCTGCTCGCCGGCGGCTAGTATCTCGGCAGTGCCCTTCGACGTGAAGCTCATACACCGTAGTTCCTGCATATCCTCGTTCCTGCGTTTCCTTCAATGAGTATCGATCGAAAGCCTTCCGGAATGGAAATAATAGAGGGAAAGGGAACCCACCTAATCGACCACAAGGGTGGACCTCTTCTTAATGCCATATGTACACCGCGGGAGCCCAGAGCTATAACGCCCTTGTCGTTAAAGAGTATCTGTCGAACCGGCCCATCTTGAGAAGTATGGGTTTTGAAGGATGTGTATGGCTGTAACTTTGTACCGTAAAATGAGGATACTCGGCCCTATGATAGCTATCAGCCTGGCTATAAGAAGACGGAGCATTGGAGGGGTATCGTTCGTGTTCGTACATATTCGTTGCCAGTCCATAAGAGCTCCTGGCTAGTATCGAAGGCTAAGACAGTGACAGGTGTCGGCATGGCCCGGAGACCGGGTGGTGGGAAAGGTATGCGATGAACCTATGAACATAGAATAGAGTCAGCCTTGCATCCAGCGGAGTAACTTGACAGTATCTAAATCAAACCTAGCCCCTCCTCGAATGTAATTGTCGATTTCGAGCTAATTCGAATTGATCATAAGAAATACTTGCCTCGTCCCAATCTCCGTCCATTTTGGCGGATTTGTCATGATCGAACTAGTCGCATTGGAAGATATATTTCACCTGCAACGTAGACAAATCTGGGGGCGTCGCATATGTATAAAATATGAGAAAGAAGTTGACCAGTTTGACGGTCATGTCAAGGTAAGTATCCCACTTCAATTTGCTAGGATTAGGGACCAGGATCTACCTCGGTTTATTACGTTAGACCGAAATACTGTCTAACCGTATGCCTGACCGTATGTCTGCACAGTATAGATAGATAGAAACA